GGGCTGGGCCGCACGTAGAAGGACATGGAGCTGCCGTCCTCCCTCACGAACAGAGTCGAGGAATGGGTGGGCCCGTTGGGGTCTTTGCCCAAATCCATCGCCTCCGCCATGTCTGACGCCGAGCACTACTAGAAGAGCTGCCTCCTCACGAGCCCCCGGCACACAGAGCGCGGCTGACTGAGCTGTCGCAGCAGACGCCTCAGATGCGAAGCGCAGCACTGAGCCGGCGCAATGAAAGCGCCTGCCCCCTCTCCCCCGGAAGAGGTGGGGCTTCGCACCTTGACCTGGAAATTAACGTACTATCCTCCTTAACATTTGGGTCGGGCCCTCCGGGAAAATGGCAGCGGTGCAGGCGGCCGAGGTGAAAGTGGATGGCAGCGAGCCGAAACTGAGCAAGAAGTGAGTGTCGCTGCGAATCTTTAAAGCCTTTGCGGTAGGAGAGTCTGGGTTGGGAAGCGCTGCGAAGTTCCCACCAAGGCTGCTGTGCCGGGGCCTTCTTGCCGGCTGTCGTGGGTATGCACATGGTGAGACTTGATGGCTGTGCGTTGCAGACCACACACCGCAGGATACCCCGGGCACGCCGGCTCCCGGTCCCCAGCCGGCACCGGCGGGGTCCTCCCTATCATACCCCTAGAGTTTAGAGACTGTGGAGGGGGAACTAGGACGAGAACTAAGAGTTATCAGGAAAGAAAAGCGAAACTTATTGCTTACCTTCATCTCCTTCCTTGTGAGAAATGCTTTCTTTTGTTGAGCCACTCAGTAAACGTGAAAGTTAAAGAAATATTAAATACCCTAGCTTTTCAGAAAGACCTTCAAAATTGTCTAGGCCTCACTAAGGTCATTCTGAACGTTATGTATTAAAAGGGATCAGTTCTAAAACTGAGTTTCGGCTCGCTGCCATCTACCCGTATGGGTGATTCATTAGATTCCTGTGAGTATTGAGTGATCAACGTCTAACAGCAGAGACCATCTTAATTAAGCCTGATACCTTTTTGTTAACTACTCCCATATATTTGGAGTGTGTGGGTTAACATAGATAAGTCAGGATTAGCCACTCTTTAACTGGCTGTCTTATATTCTTACTAGCATTCCCCATTTGAACCACAGAACACAGGTAATTGAGTGTTTTATCATTGCTAGGAAGAAGGTACATAGTACCATTCCAGACGCATACGAGACGGCTTAATCCCCGTGGCGCGCACTTGTTATCCCAGCTACTCGGGAGACTGAGGCAGGAGAATCGCTTGAACCCAGGAGGCGGAGGTTGCAGTGAGCTGAAGTCGTGCCACTGCACTCCGGCCTGGGAGACTTGAGGTCCTTCAGGGACTGCTATGAGTGCTGCGTGAGCGAGCTCTTCTCCGTCGCTTTCCACAAGGCGTTACTGAGACAGCCAGACCCTGAATGAAAAAGAAAAGAGAAATGATGTTTCCTTTTTTTTTTTTTTTTTTTTTTTTGAGAGGGAGTCTTGCTCTGTCGCCAGGCTGGAGTGCAGTGGAACCATCTCGGCTCACTGCAACCTCCGCTGCCCGGGTTCAGGCGATTCTCATGCCTCAGCCTCCCGAGTAGCTGGGGTCACAGGCGCGTGCCACCACAGCCGGCCAATTTTTGTATTTTTAGTAGAGACATGGTTTCATCGTGTTGGGCAGGATGATCTCGAACTCCTTGCCTCGTGATCCGCCCACCTTGACCTCCCAAAGTGCTGGGATGACAGGCGTAAGCCACCGCAGCTGGCCCGATGTTTCCTTTTGTGACCCTAGATTTGTGCTTCAAATATCTTAGAAGTAAGTATTAGAGAAATGGTCTAAGTTTTTGATAGCACCCTAATATATTGTCCTTTATCAGAGCAATCTGATGGACTTCCATAAATGTTTGGAACCTGGCCTTTGAACTACTACCTTAGAGAAAATTGACTGGACTTTAATCTGTTAAGTCAAATTTAGTTGAATGTGATGTATCTGTGATATACAGTCCTAAAGTTTAGTTCATTCTTTCAAACCACCTATGATAATAAATTACATTGAATTGAATTATAGGACTGTATATCACAGGTGAAAGCAGGGTTTCCAGTTCAGTGTTTTTAGGTAAACTGAGAAAACTGGTTAATTTCTCTTTACTGACTTTTTTTTTTTTGGAGGGAGAGTCATTGTTGCCCCGGCTGGAGTGCAGCGGTGTGATTTCAGCCCATGGCCACCTTCACCTCCCGGGTTCAAGCAATTCTGATGCTTCAGCATCCCAAGTACCTGGGACTACAGGCGCATGCGGCAACACCCGGCTAAATTTTTGTATTTTAGTAGAGACAGGATTTCACCATGTTGCCCAGGCTTGTGTCAAACTCCTGAGCTCAGGTGATCCGCCCGCCTCAGCCCCAAAAAGTGTTAGGATTATAGGCATGAGCCACCACTCCCTGCTTCACTGACTTTTCTAAGATTAAATACAGCTACTACTTTTGTTTTTTTTTTTTGAGACGGGGTCTGGCTCTGTCACCCAGGCTGGAGTGCAGTGGCTGGATCTCAGCTCACTGCAAGCTCCGCCTCCCGAGTTCACGCCATTCTCCTGCCTCAGCCTCCCAAGTAGCTGGGACTACAGGCGCCCACCACCACGCCTGGCTAATTTTTTTTTGTATTTTAGTAGAGACGGGGTTTCACCATGTTAGCCAGGATGGTCTCGATCTCCTGACTTCATGATCCGCCGTCTCGGCCTCCCAAAGTGCTGGGATTACAGGCTTGAGCCACCGCGCCCGGCCATAAGCTACAACTTTTTTGACCAGCTTTTCTGTACCAGGCACAATGCTAGATCTCTGCAAGCTTTCTGTCAAAATAATAACTTTGCAAGAGAAGAGTTATTGTCCATTTTTCAGATTAATAAACTGAGGCCCTGGTAATTAAATGCATTACTAAAGCGTGCATTCCTAAAATACAGTCTAGTGGTGACACAGAGCACTGGAGCAGAGATCTGAAATCAGGCCTGTGCCTCCTCAGCCCATGCTCTGTATCCTGACTGCACAGCACTACTCACGTTGTCTTACCTGTTATTGATGTCTGTTCCTCTAGTTACCACGGACTAAGATAACTTTTTTGTGATTAACATTTCCTTCCATTTAATTGTTCTCGGACATTCCTTGGTCTGAAATCTTTAGTAAGCACCATTTTATGCCAGGTATTGACTCCAAGTTTAAAAACAGATGTGCTCCCTGCCCAAGTGAAATAGCCTCCTCAGATTTATTTGAACATGGTAAAGAAGGTGATCTCTGTAATTCTGTTGCCTTCTAGCATTTATAATGTATAAACATAACATAGTCTAAGGACCCTCCTGAAATTCTCCTTTCCCCTTGTTCCTAGAGTTCCAGACAAGTCTTCTCTTTGATTCGTGTTTTTGTGTGACTTGCATTTATCTTTGTCTAGAGTTCGCAATTGATAGTGACAGCTTCCTCTTATTTTATATGCTTCCTATTGCCATCTTGTGGCCAAGTATTTTCTCTCCAGGTGAGAAACCACACTTCAGGGCTTCAGAAAGTACCTCACATCCTGTTCCCATATTCTAGGATGTTGTGAGCATTTTTACCTGTAAGCGATCCATTAACTTGCTGTTGGCTTTTGACCCCAGATGTGCATGTTTTTTCCATAGTCAGGACTAGGAACATTGTCAGTTACAGTTGTAGCACAGGGAGTGTTACAGGGTTGCTATCAGTTAAGAGAGACTTAAGTTAAATGGGACTAAAAGGTAGTAGAAGCATGGTCCCCCTCCCCAACCCATAAGAGAGTTGGTTGGATCTGTGTATACTGTCTGTCCCATCTGACACCACGTCTCTGTTTCCCGCTAGGTGGTGGTAATCATTAGTTCCAGGGTGTTCTGCCATGTTGACGCAAGCTGCTGTAAGGCTTGTTAGGGGGTCCCTGCGCAAAACCTGCTGGGCAGAGTGGGGTCACAGGGAACTGCGACTGGGTCAACTTGCTCCTTTCACAGCGCCTCACAAGGACAAGCCATTATCTGATCAAAGAAGGTTGGTGCCCATTACCTTCTTTATTGCTCTGGAAGCAAAAATTATTTCCTTACTTGGTTCATTATCTGTTAAGCCTCTGGCTAAGTCTTTGGACTTGTTGCTAAGGAAACAAGGAACCCTAATACCAAAACCAACAGTCCTTTCTCATTTCCTCTTTAATAAATTCAAATCATCTCTCCTTAGAGTCTTGAGATGACATGTAGATCTTATTCTAGAACAGTGCTGAGTACAAAACCTTTGTTCGAACAAATAATTTCTAATGCCAGTTATTTCCCTTTTCTGTCTTTCTGGGGTTTTGTTTGCTCTTGAGATTAATTTGGTTTCTAGTCTTAGTGCTATCCCTAGGACCTTTTTGGATTATCCTTAAGATTGATTTGATTTAAGAGGAGCACCTGGTTGAGTGGAAAACAGATTTATCTTAATTCTAGAAGAACTAGACAGCCTAGTCTTAGCAGTCCACTGACTGAATTATAGCATGATAGCACCAGCACAGTGTTTTGGAAAGGTTGTCTTTACAAATGTTATAAGACATTATATGTAGAAAAAGCTGTCAACTGTGAAACCATCAGAATCTGTTTTTCCTGTTTAAAAGGAAAGGCGCACTGCGCAGCAGCCAGGCACAGTGGCTCACGCCCGTAATCCCAACACTTTGGGAGGCCGAGACGGGCGGATCACGAGGTCAGGAGATCGAGACCATCCTGGCTAACACAGTGAAACCCCGTCTCTACTAAAAATACGAAAAGAACATTAGCTGGTCATGGTGGCGTGCACCTGTGGTGCCAGCCACGCCACACGCTGAGGCAGGAGAATGGTGTGAACCCGGGAGGTGGAGCTTGCAGTGATCCGAGATCACACCACTGCACTCCAGCCTGGGCAACAGAGCGAGACTCTGTCTCAATAAAAGGAGGTGAAAGATTCAAAACCTCAATTCATTTTGTTTAAGTTATTCTAAATTCTTACAGAAAATGAAGGATGTGTCCTGAAGCCAGAAAGTACGCAGGGATGACTTGGGATCTTTTGCTGTGGTTCACTGTTGCAGAATATTTGATTAGTGGTTTGAAAGAATGTTCCATAAATTGTCTTTGAATAGTAAAGATAACGCTCCCTATACCAATATGTTTAGTTTCTGGGTTCAGATAGCAAATTCACACCATAAGAGACATGAACGTATCATACAGAACAGCTCAAAGTTGTCCACATCGCTTTGGTTTTTGAGGTTCAAGGG